TTTTGCTGAAGACTTTACTTGTAAATGTTGAATGTGGATTTGTGGACTATATCTTTTGAAATAAGCCTCCTGGCATACAATTTAATGTCCTCTTCAAGGAACAATAACATTTAATATTTTCCTTTTTAATTTTTGAAAATGGATTTTGAAAATGAACTCCATACTATGGGAAGCAGCAGGGAGAGAAGAATAAAATACTGTAATAATCTCCTTCATACTTCCTAAACATTTAACATATGTGACCTTGAAGTTCAGTATCTTGAGACTTTTGAGATGCAAATATTATGCTTCCCATTGGAAAAGGATTTAATCTCTCCAGTAGGCAATTCAGGCTCTTACTGTGGGTTGTAACACTGACCTTTTTATTAGCTCTGGGCCTTATAGCACCTTAAACTACTAGCTAGGGGAAGGAGTGTGATGTCCATATTCAGTGAGAAGAAAGGATTCTTTTCTTACAGAAGGTTAAGTTGCTGGAGAATGATGCCTATTGAAAACATTATAGTAGGTTCTCTCGTTAGCTGCAAGAGCACAAATGATGCAAGCCAAGGTGGCAGAACTTGCCATTTGACACACACCACTGGCTCTGTGGACTTTATTTTTTAGAGGAACAAAGCACAGTGACTGCAGTATGGGACAAAACTTGAATTTTATTTAGAGCTTTACTTTAATTTGTTAACAATTGTCAGGTAATTAGTGCAAGGAAGCTGAAGTGTGGCTACTGACACTGTCTGGAGAGCTGCTCCTTTCTGGCTCCTGCAGGAATTTGAAGAGCAGAAGAACCAGGTGCTTCAAAGCATCTGCTTGAAGGCTCCTTGGCAAAGGTCACTTGTCAGTGCCTTGTGAAAGTTTCACAGCATGCAGATCTAAATAATTAATTACTGCACAGCACAATCTTTTAATTTACGTATATCAAGCTTTCAGCTGCCTGCAGACAAACTCCAGTATCTTTACCAGTCTCCAGACCTTTGCTCAGTAGCAAAGACATTCAACAAGAATTTTTTGCTGGTATTACTCAAAACTGTGCCATATCTTGGATGCATCTTAGTTTCAGTTTTTTTTTTTTTTTTTTGTAGTAGTTCCAGGATGGGATATGTTTCTCTTGCCAAGGACAGCTTTTTTTTTTTTTTTTTGGCNNTTTTTTTTTTTTTTTTTTTTTTTTAATGAGGAACGACTGCCTAAAGAGAGCGTCATGAATCAGCTGCCCAATAAATAGGGTTGCCTTCAAGGTGAAGGTTGACATTCAGCACAAGTTTCCAAAGATTTTTTAGTACCTCTTAAGCACTTGATGCCCATCACCTTTACAAAGTGAACGAACTGGCGCAACCAACTCTTCAAAACTGTTTCAAACTATTAAGTTTTTGTGTTCTCCTTTTTCATAATTCCGCACCTGGATGTCAGTCATGAATGCAACATGGCACTTTCTCAGTAGGTAATGGAGGTCATATGTATGCACTAATTCATGACAAATGGGCAATAATAATGAATCATGATGGGTGTTTTCCATTTCCTTTTACACTTCTCTCAATGATCAGCCTTTCAGAACCTGTGTTTTGACTTGCACATGGTTTAATCTATCAGTTTTATTTTTTTCACTAGAAGCTGATAAATATTCAGTGTAAATATGTATACCGTGCTCCAGGAAGTTGTCTTTAATAAAAGACATCTGACACTATTTGAATTACAGTAAATTTGTGTCCTTTAATCTTAGCATCTAACTCTTTAGTGCATAAATAATTGTCAAAATTCAAGACTTTAACTAAAAACTTGTAACATTTTATGTTTCTTTTCAAATATTAAGCATATCAGCAAAAGAGTCAAATGGATAAAGAAACATTTCACTGCTTCCTTGGGTGTATTATTCTTCTGGTTTATTCTCTTCTTTGAAAACAAATCTAGCAGCTTTGTAAGAGCCAACATGAGCATGCTGTTAATGCAGATTTTTCCAGTTCTAAGTATAATTGTTAAGATATCATTATGGAAACTTCTACCTTTTGCTTGCAGCAAATGATAACCCCTTAATATGAAACATGTGTTCCTATTGCTGAGTGTCACCCTTCCCTCTTCCTTCCCTGCAGATGTCCTTGGCGAGCTCCGTTCCCTCTCCTAACACAGCTCCAGTGGAAATTCAGTGTGAGCACACTCTCAGCAGCGACAGGCACACAGAGTATGGTGTTACTAAAACATCACTCACTCCTTGGACTTCCTCTGCCCTGATATATCTGTAAAATCTGGGAGCTTTTCCACTTTCTCTTTTTTGCATTATGCCCAGCTTTGGACATTTCTCCCACTGTTTGAGGCCAGCTGGTTACACAGCAGGGTCCAGAAAGATACACCATGTACTTTTTGTAAATCCCACAGTGACTGGGATAGTTCATGGCAGACTAAGCTGGACATTTTAAATATTAGATGTAATTTAATTTAATCTGTTTTTCAAGCAAAAATGAGCTTTGTGCTGGACCTAAGCCATTTCTTACCCCACATCTACCATTTAGGTTTCTTGAAAGTAAAAGAGGGACACTTTTGACAGCTGTTCTTGGTAAAATGGCTCTCCCTTGCCTTTTCTTCTCCTGCAATCTGTGTAATTGAAAGCAAGTTTATTTAAAAGACACCCTGAAAACGGAACGCTCAACCTCAAGTTAATTTTTTAAGTCATATATCTTGCCACAGAAACATTATTAATTAAAAAAAAAAAAAGTCAAAACACACCCAAAACCAAACAAACTAACTCTAACCAAAAAAAGAAAGCCTCAAGCAAACAGAAAAATCTGGGAAAATTCCTACTTTTTTAGAAAAAGCAGCTGAACGATGAAATGTATTATTTGCACGACTCCAGTCCAACTGTAATCCCCAGCACAAAGATCCTCTGTATTTTAGAGCTGGTATTTGCCAACCACTCCTTGGGGCATTCTGCTCTCACTCCTCTCTCCTTGTGCTGCATTTAGCAGAGCTGAGCACTATTTGTGGTTGCAGCCCCTCCAAAGCTTATTATGCCCATATTTCAAGTACAAAAGCCAAAGTAACTTACAGTTTCTCCCTAAGCAGTCCCAGTGTTTTTGGATAGATTGTATAATGCAGCTCAGGCTCATGTGCTAATTGTTAATTTTAGAATTTAAATGGGTTTTGTTCTATTCAAAGGAAGTAGGCTGAAGGTTTCTGAAAACTCTGATTTTAGGAAAGTGGTTTGGTCTCTTTTAGAGTTTGTGAGTGAGTTAGCTTTTGCATCCGTGGAGATATCCTTAAATGATAATAGAAAAATCTTTCATTTTACTGAATGTGTATCCTTTTCTGGACTCTAAATAAGATTAGAATTATTTTTAAGGTACATTATCTCTAAAAAATGCATGGAATATTAGTTATTTATGTAAACATAGATTTTGTCCTAATTGCTTGTAGCCACCAATGGTGGTATTCCAAAATAGAGTTGGCTGTTTCAGGTTATGTTTCATTTTGAATAATCTTGTTCCTAAACACTGAGATGTTCTTCTGTACCTTTCTGTTATCCATCCATTTACAAGTTGACTGATATTTATATACTTTGCTTATTTCCAACTGCAGCAGGTTTTTAAACAGAGATGAATATTTTAATCTGCCGTTAGGCTGCTTTTCACATTACATGTCAGAAAACCAAACCCTATCTGTCTATGTGGTTTCCAAATTAAACCTAGTTTCCAATAGCAAAATTAGATTCAGATGTAGGGTTTTAATTTGAATTAACTTAATTTGGCAGTTGTAAGTGACAGGAGAATTGGAAAAGAGAAGAAAGAAAAAGTTGGCTAATTTCAATGAGGTATTTGTGTTTAACAGTGAGGGCTAATAATGCCCTTTTTCTGCATCCTAGTTTGGTTTATTTTCTTTTATGCCATTATTTGTGTTTAGTGAACAGCTGGGCCAGTAGTTCCCATTTGTAGTCTTTTAGCTCTGTAAAGTAGCACAGAAAGTAATGGACATTTGCAAATTAATGCTTTCCCTTATTTTCTGCTCATCTGATGCAGTTCTCCTTTTGGAGCATAGATGTAGTATCGGAGCAGAAATAATTACTGTGTTAAAACTAGGATTGCAGTAGAATATTTTGCTAATTAAACTTGTTGCATTTAAATTGCTTCCTTTGGATCACTATATAGAAGAGAACTATTTTAAACAATAAATGAAACCACTTTCTTTCTCCAAGACCCAGAATTGCAGATGGTCAGATTGTATGTGAAGCACCTAGACTCTGAATTAGGCTTTTGTATGAAAGGGAGAAAGGTAATTTGAATGTTTGAACTCCCTGTTCCTCCCACACACACACAGGAAGCTTGCCTCAAAATGAACAATTCTCTAAATAAAGACTAATAAGAAGCTAAATTAATTAGAAGGTGTGATTTGAAAAGACATTGATGAGAAGAGTCTGTCATTTCAGACAAATGGAATGGAGCTAAATAAATTAGACCACATTAATATCTCATTGTTCTGTGAGGAGCTTTCTTTTATTGCATTCATTAGAGGGTACTTCTTGAAATGAGCCTTTACTAGCCATTATGGATTCAGTTCTCATTTACCAATGCCTAACACACAGCTCCCACATTAAAAATGTTTCAGCAAATTCACATAGTTTCTGCAAATTAATATTTATATTTCTGGATGCTGCACTTTTCATCCATGTCATAGTAGGCATTGAACACTAAGGTTTTCTCTCACTGAATTGTCAGTAAAGAAGTCTTACATCTAAAGATTTGGGAAGCATAAGTCTGAAAATACTTCATAAAATGTATGACATGTATTCCTATCTCATACACTAGGATATTCCTTCAACTAATATTCTTTCCAGTATTTATTTATTTAGATAGAAAATATTCTGTCCCATGACTTCACTGGTCCTTTGATAGCTTTTTAAAGTGTCTTTTAAAAGGTTCCTTCAGTATATAATTAGGATACATTGGAAATGCGCATCTCATCACGCCGTTCTTCCTCTCAGAAAACGAAATGTGTGTTTTTCCTTTTCTTTTTTCTCTTTCCTGCAGATGGACTATTTGGGAGATGTCAGCAAATGCCAGTAATAGACATCTATAAATATGACATTTCAGCCCCCGTTCTGCAGCACCTGAGGATCATCCTGGAGCAGCTCTCACACAGAGGTACAGTCAGAACTCTAGAGTGGGGCTCGACACACTGGGGGTTACAATTATTTGTGCTCCCTCTGAGATGATGTCTCCAGAAGTTTTTGAACACATTTCTGTTTCAGCCCTGTTGGTGCAGGCATTATAAAAGTAAAAGCCTTTGGATTCACTGAATCTGCCAGGAGGACCTGGGGAAGCAATTCCAGGGGAGATGTTTCCTCCCTGTATAGCACATGTCTGGGACTGACACTGTACTAAAAAATGTTAGCATCCATGAATGCTGGTGTCAAATAAATCAGCAGGAAAGAAAAAAAGTTTGCCTTCTGCACCACAGCATATTTTAGGGTGCATGGGCAGAAAACACAAAACTTCCAGTTAGCTGGGAACAATTCTGAACTTTCTAATGAATTCGGATAAAAAACTGCTCTGATTTCATTACCAGCTGCAGCTGGTCTGTTTCTTTTAATTTTTGTTCACCTTTCCAATGTTAATCTCTCTACTCTTTCCGAAGCCAGAAAGGATTTTCTGGCTTTTGAATGGCATAACTTGAACTAACAAATCAAAACTTGAATGAAGTGAAAGCCAGTAAGGCGAACAAACCTTTCAGATACTAATACATGAAATAAACATCTCCTGTAGACAGTCACTGGATCAAGATATTTTTGTAATCTAAATTGTTCCAAGAATATTGTTGGAATGTTTAGCTTTGCACTTGCATCATCTGTGTGGGTGTTTGTACCTAAATATTTTCCAGTCACAATCTTGTTGACAAAGTAGTAATGTTGTATTAGCATGATGATAGTTTAATTATGAGAAAAAAATGGTTTATCAGAAGTTTGGGACCCTGTTTAGAGACTGTACTTCTAGTTGGGACACTCATTTAGAGAGAATTTTCCAGGGATTTATTTGCTGTCCAGCAGCCTATTCAAATGAGACAAACTCAGCAAAACTTGATTGTAGTAGCTCCTGCCTGATTAACAGTTACATGTGAATAGTACTTGTGGCTCTTTCACTTGTCATTTTCTAAAGGCTAAGTAATGCAAGCAAAGTTATGAAAATTCTCTGTTGTCAGGGCAACACTGAGTGAAAAAACTTGTGTTTGAACATAGTAAGGAAGGAGGAGAGGACACATTCATCTCATTAAGTCACCTAAATAAATACCTAAAGTGATCATGCACACATGGACAGGCAGCAGTCATTTACATCACCTGCTGTAGGTCAGGTGTCCTGTGTAAAGCTGCTCCTATGAGGATGTCTGAGGTCAGAGACCTGCAGGAGACTGATGTCCTTGTGGAAGGAACATTCAGAGGGGGACTATCTCAAAGGATGCTCACCTACCTCCATTTCCCTGCTTCCCATAAGATTTTGGTTAGCTCAAAGGATTTGATGTGGCCTCCCCTTCTAAGTACTCCTCTGATCAATAAACCCACCCTTCCCAGGATCTTTGTTATCCACAACCCAGCCCCCTAAATTTAACATTTTTGTTGCAGGAAACAATAATATGCTTCTTTTAAGGAAACTTGAACATTGAAATTTGGTCTTGTCTCATAGTTTTTTATAGCAAGAAAATTACAAGGAAAACACAGATTGAAACCATGGTGGAAATAATGGACTTTTGTTTTTGTTTATGACATTCAGAGGTGCATACACAAATGTGTGAATTCAAACTGATATAAAACTTTTGCAAGCTGTTTTTGTGGTCTCTGGGTATCCCCATGAAGGGAATCTTAAATATATGTATGAAACATAAGAGAATTCTGGAATGCTCTTGCTCAAATCATTGATGTGATTAAATCACTTTTTCTTTTTACTCTTAGTATCTTGCAAATTTTGTCTAGTGGGGACAGAAATATGGAAGGAGTAGAATCAATACCGTCAAACTGATTGATTACCGACGCAAGGTTACTCAGACAAGACTCTGCTGCTTACTGGTGCTATTAGATGTAAAACATCCAGCCCTCAGGTTGTGTTTTTTGGCTGTGATGGTCACTCTGACAGTTAATGCTGCTCTCCTGCACATGGTGTGCAAAATGGTATAACCATTTCTGCAGTAAAGATACACAAAACATTGTCAAGACTGCACAAATATTTCAGGCAACCACCAGAGAGGGATTAATTTTTTCAGAGGCCTTATTTCCTTTATTTGTGTGATACCCCATTCTTGTAAACTCCAAAAGACTTCTGTCTGGCTCAATTTGGTGGTGCCCACCACCTTCCCTGGAAAGGACAGGGGACAGCATCTATTCTCTACTTTCTGTGAGCAGCAGGACACTGTTCCCATGAAAGACTACCGCTGGTCTTTTGATTACTAAAATTTTAGTAATGCCTATGTTGAACCCTTTCTACATTTATTAGATGTATATACAGTTAAGGATGAAAAATTCTGGGGGCAATTAACTTGAGTGGTCTTCTAGGTTCTTATTTATTTAATTTTCTAATGTGACATGGTTTGTCTACTTCATTTCCTTCCTGATGTATTCTTGCAGAATTACTAAGATCTTCCTTTTCCTCCCCGACCCTGAAAATACTGCTGACATCTATTTCCATAGGATTTTTTTTAAAAAGCAATAGAAAACCATTGAAAATGTACATTTTTTTCCATCCCTCTTTGTTGATTGTTTGTAAGTAAGTGGTGCCTATGTTTGAATTATAGCCCAAATGGAAGAGTTTGTGGTGAGATGTATAAAACAAAGGGCAATGTGATGTGAATAGAAAACAGAATTTGTGACTCTGCCAACTCAAAATGTTTACTACAGTGGGGAAGAATAAGACAGAGGCTTAGATGAGTGACACACCTGATGATAATCTATTTAATAAAGGACTTTGACTAATATTGAATTCAGGTTTCATAATGATACAGATTTTGTCTTCTTTACACATTGAGTCTGTCCACACTATTGACTGGGCAGATTGATGGTAGAAATGAATGTCTTGGAATACTAGATATTTCCCTAAAAATAAATTATCTGCTAGCTTTTAAATACCCTTGCACATGTCATTTTCACTCACACTATCCTTGAGTCCTTCAAACACTCATGAAGATTTTCTGAAGGTTCAGATTATTAAATGAGACTGTCTGTATGGGAAAAACCCTTCTCACTGTTGCTGAAACATGACAAATCACTTTCTGAAGCTGATGGTACTTTATGTCATAAGCCACAATAATTTATGAGGAATTGAAAAATTTTTCATTGTCTGATAAACAGGGCAGTCAGAAGTATGCCATGTAGATGGGTCTGAATCATTTGAAAAGGGAAGTGAAGAAAGTATCAGTGTAGAGGGGTGTATGAGTAGTGCCTGAAGGAAAGGGAGATACTTATCCCTGTGGTTGGTCTTCTGCATCATCTTGTCCAACTTGGAAGAAGATACTTTTTTGAGTATACAAGAATGATAAATCATGTGTGCATTTCATGGTTTGAGCTAAAATGCAGAAAATACTTTTTCCTAATTTTTTTTCCTCAGTGCATTCAATTTATTAATATTTTTTGTTTTTTTTCTTGTCCCTACAATAGTCACATTTATATTGTAAAGGCAAAATATTCACTAAAATAAGATTCTTACCAAGTTTGTGGAAACAGTTCCGCATTGATTATTGACCTGTAAATCAGAGCCACGAAAAGATGAAATAGGAGAGTTGAATATAGGACATTATAACTCAAACATGAAGCATAAATAGTACTTGAAACACCACCATAGGCAATAATAGATGATAACAGTAGTATTTTTCAACTTGCATGCTCCAAGAGGTATTTATGTGTGTTTCATGGGATTCTAAATAGTAGCAGGGGTTAGAAATGATAAGGTGGCACTAACTCTGTGAGTGTGCAGCTGCCACAGCAATGGGCATTCCCTGAGGGAGGAGCTTTTTTTGTTTTTCTGCAGGAAATGTGTAGAGTGACTGAAAAACAGATCAGTTATATATATTCTTTTTTATTTTTATGTGAGCTGGAGTCATTCCTAAATAATTCCTCAGTATGCTTGCTGCCACTTAATTTTTTCAATAATACCTTGTTCAAAATGATAGTTTAAAAGAAAGCAGTTTATTTCACTCTGTTGTAAAGAAAGTCCTGCTTAAGATACTTGGATATCAACAGTAATATTAAAAGAACCAAAATGAGTAGGATGTGCTTTTAAATTCATGTAGTTTAAGTCAGCAAGACATTCTGGAGAGATTAATGGACTGTGGAAATAGGCAACATATTTACAGACTATTTGAAAAAAATAGTATTTTTCCATCTTGTTTGCTTTCTTTGCAATGCAGGAAGCCCTTGACAGGGAGAAAAAATTATCTGTCTTAAATTAATTCTGACCAGTTAAGTGTAAGGTGATTAATATAACTTTGCTAGAAATAATTTTATACTCTTAGAGCATTTTGTTTAAAAAATGGAAATGATTTACAATCCGTTAACTTGAAAATTGAAATGAATGTGACCTGTCACTTATAGCTTGTGAATTACAAAAGGGTTGCTAAGTATTTTTTTCAGTCAGGACTATTTTTCAAGAAAAAGTATAATTTTTTACTCCAAGAAAGGAAAGAGTTGAAAGTAAGTCTTTATAAGCTCAGATTTGAAATAAACTTAAAAGGAATGGCGCAGTTCTTGCACATATTTGTGAGGTGATTATCACATCATTATGGAGGAATACAGAAACCTGAAATCCTGAGAGGTAGGAGAAAGCAGGTTTTTCTTTAAATTGAAATATTGATATAAATGAAGGCAAACTCTTCTTTGGCAGAGAGCAGAGAGTTTGCATCTAATTTCCTGGGCATCAGCCTGCTCCAGACACCTGTCTATGGAGCAAATTCTTCTGCTAGATGGCTGCTGAAGCCAGGAATTGAAGCATAACTCCCATGATGAGCTACAGCAGAGGAACTCAGCTGGGACTGGACATATTTACTTTCTCCTGGTATCACTGTCACACTGCCTGAACTTTTTGGCTCAATGGACAAAAACGTGCTGAAAAGGTTGCAAAGAATTCCTGCCTTTGTTAAGTGCTGAAACACCACTGACATTTTCTGG